ATGTTCATGAACAAAAACTGGGCCTCAAATATCTTATTACATGCTGACACTAAACAAATAAGAATGAAGAAAAACACATAAACAAAACAACTGAGATATTGAAGAAGCTGTGGGCTATATCAAATCATGAGAACAGGATATATCAAATCATGAGAACAATCGACACTGCCTACCCCCACATTTTTATATAAAACAGGATTGAGAATCAGTGAGACAGATTTGGAAGTGTCCTCACTGTACTTAGTACAAATATACCATTTCCTTTACCAGGGTGAGCTCTGGAGAACAGGTTCTGCATAGTGCTTAGGAAAGTTACTTTTTTGGACTACTACTCAAAAACCTGTAACCAGCATGGCCAGCCAGCATGGTCACTATAGGTTTTGACAGTGGTAGTCCAAAAACAAACAAAAATTCCCAGGTTCTAGTTCTGCAAGGCTGAATTGTGGAAAAGAGGACTCTAAAGGGTACTCACTGGCTACAGCCCATGGCATCTTCAAAACACTTCATCTTAAACCCAAGAGCAGTTTTGCAACTTTCTACAGGCTTCCCTTTTTAAAAAATGATGCATGAATAAACAGCTAATTCTGAAAAGGCAAGTAGCCTGACTAAAATTTGAGGAGATGATCGAAGTTTATGGATAAAATAGATCTCCACTTGTTGGTATGTCTGTAGTACACATATTGAGCCTGGGCTCAGACTGAGCACAAGGAACCTGACAGTTTTTCAATACTACAAGATGGTAAAATGTCTAGAAGCCAAGTCTATGAGGAACAGCTTAGGGAACTGGGTATGCTAAGCTTGGAGAAGAAGAAATTGAGAGGTGACATGTTAGTCACTTTAATTATCTGAAGGAATGTCATATGAAAGATGGAATGAGTATGGTTTTTTTTTTTTTTTGCTCTAGAGACTAGGACATGAAGCAATGGATTCAAATTACAAGATTCCACCTAAATGTTAGGAAGAACATCCTGCTGGTAAGCACTGTCCAACACTGGAATACACTGCCTCAGAGGCTGGTGGACTCTTCATCTTTGGAGGTGTTTAAAGAGAGGTTGGATGGCTATCTCTCAGGTTGTGTTTCTGTATTGTGCATTGTGTATTCCTGCATTGTTGGGTGCTCATGGCCCTTGCAATCCCTTTCCACTCACTAGATGCCTTTTGTGACTCCTTTCCACTCACTCTGACTTCTTCAACATATATATGGACTACCACTCTCCTTGGATGGAGGGTAGATGGATACAGGGAGGACTCAGGCTCTAGGGTCCTTTCAGATCACATAACTATAGCCCTATGATCCCAGCAACTGTCATGACTGCATTCCTGGGGTTTGTAGCTTGGTAAAAGACACTGAGGAGTTCTCCCTTAACTGCAAATTCCAGGATTCTGTGGGACAAAGCCCTGGCCATTAAAATGGAATCAATGCTATAACTGTGTAGTGGAAAGGGGCCCTAGGTCTTTTACAGGAATGGGAAAGGACATACCAGGGCACAGTAGTGTCCTAAAGCCATTACTGGGGTCTTCTAGCCTGGAGTACTTGCTATGCAATAAAATAGACAAGGAAGTGGAAACTAAGTACCTCAGTCTCTGCATGGATGTGGCTGGCAGCTGGAACGGAACATTGTGGCAAAGCCCTGGAAGAAACAAAAGTAACAGATCTGAAAGGAAGTTAGTGATATCTGTATTTCATCTTCCATCTCATGACTGTCTTGTGAGCAAGGACTATTTTTGTCAGAGGTTGAGCCTCCCTTATCCAGAAATCAAAACTCCAAAAAGCTCCAAAGCTTGATACTTTTTGTCACCTCTGCCCACTTCTGCCTTCAAGGAAAGGGGGTTAGGGCCTTTGCAGACTGCTAGAAATAGTGCAAATTGAGTCCACTTTAACTGCCCTGGCTCAGTGCTAGGGAATCATGGGAACTAATTTTTTCTGAGACATTGAACCTTCTCTGTCAGAGAGCTCTGGTGCCACAATAAACTACAGTTCCCATGATTCCATAGCACTGAGTCAGGGCAGTTAAAGTGGACTCAATTTGCACTATTTCTGGCAGTCTGCAAAGGCCCCAAGTCTCACATCCAGTGCTGGCTGAGCTTTTCATCAAGGAGCCTTTGTTTCACCACTGTCAGAAATTTTATGGAGGGGAGAAGAGGAGAAGGGAGGGAGGATTCAAGACCCTATGAAAAGGGTCATCCTCTACAACCTTCCCCCTCTTCTTGGTGGCTGAGCGAAGCTTCATTTGCTGGCAGCCCCAAATCCACTTGGATTTCTCCATCCCTTCCCAGCTACTTTCCTGAAAGGGTGGAAAGGGTGCTGACAGCTAGGGAAGCACCTGGGGCCTTTGACTTTTACAGGGAGCTTATGTGAAACCATCCCTCATTCACTATGTGAATGTATATGCAAATATGCAAATACAGGTATTCCAAAATCTAAAAAAATAAATAAATCTACAAAACACTTCTGGTCCCAAGCATTTCAGATAAGGCAGGCTCAATCTGTATATCTGGACATGGTTTCTCTGCAAGAAGAATTCCCTGGATGAAGGGCAACTTTTGCCATCCATATAATGTGCTACAACTGTCATAAGCTTTAGTCAGCACAGGCAACGGCAGGAAAAATCCTAAGACTAACAGTAGAAAAATATCTGGAGGGCCATAATAGCCCACCACTTAGGTTACTGTCATGAGAGGAATTACATTTTCAGTGGAACTAGGAGCCCATTCACACTACACAGTTATAGCACTATTATTCCACTTTAACTACCAGGGCCCCATCTAGGAAATCCTGTTTGTTTGTTTGTTTAGGCATCAGAGGAACTCTCTGTCTGAGGCTTCTAAATGCCCCTTCTTCAACTTTCAATCAGAGAAAGTGCCAGCTGTGGTATAGTAGTTTGCATATTGAACTTGGACTCTAGAGACCAGGATTCCTACTCAACCATGGAAACCTACTGGGTGACCTTAGATAAGTCATGCTCTCTCAGCCTCAGAGAAAGGCAAGGACAAAGCCCCTCTGAAACAAACCTTGCCAAGAAACCCCCATAGCAGGTTTACCCCAGGGCAAATAATTCAGAAACAACTTGAAGGCACACAACAACATTGAACTCTCCGTTTCAGGATTTAATAGGACAGAGCCATGGCAGTTCAAGTGGAATAATAGTGCTATCAGGGCCCATTCTATAGTGTGAATGTGTCCTTATACTGGCAAGAGGGTTGAGGGAATTACAGAAGATGAGTGGGTGATCAAGGCAGAGGATGGTATGTGAAGTCGTAGGCTTTCATGGCCGGCATTCATAGTTTTTTTGTG